TTTAGTCAGTCATACACTTAGTTCTTATCAGTGTTTAAAAGAGGACGTGTTAAAACTCTGTTTAGTCAAAGTTAAACATGAAACATCAAAGTTTATTACAATTGGCCCTTCGAGGACCACCATAAGGCTCATGTGGCCCTCGGTGAAAATGAGTTTGACCCCGCTGACATTAGATGGTGAAATGGTTGTAAAAGATTTCAAATTAGCAGAAGAAAAATCATAGAAATATTAAAAAGTAGCCTGRTAAAAACCAGACCCTGTCCTTCACTTTGCTTCGTACAGAGGGTCTGGACTCTCAGCTATAGAGAAGTGATTCTTGCAGGAGGCGTGGCCTCTGCTGAAATGTGTGTGTCATGTGATGGAGGCTAAGCTAAGAAGCTAACAGAAATCGCGTGTGCTGTAAACAACCCTACTGAGAGGAGAGAAGTACCGAGCTGAACGAGACGACTGTAAATGAGAGCTGCTGCTTTGTCAGAATAATTTATTTTAATTTGAAGCCTTATCAACACAGACTGGCTTCAGTCACTTCCTCCACTGCTGTATGMTAAAMTAACTAGCAGACACTGCGCWGAACATCARCGTTCTGTTCTCTGATTGGACCGGACAAAAATTCTCCTGAAGAAATCCTTGTCTATGGGAGAAGTCCCAGACGGAGCAGAGAAGGAAACTAGAACTGAGCGGAGCTGCGTAGGAATTAAGGCGAGGGCCAGGCTRACTAAAAAGTGATCATTTGTAGTAAAATATATAAAACAGTCGAAGTTTTCAGTAAAACAGCTGAACAGTAGCTGGAAATGTTTTAATTAGCATAAGGAAGCATAAGGASCACAGCTTTGCTGAATTTAGCAGAAAAAAGTTGCAATAGCTACAAAAATTATGTGTTTATCTTTAAAAAGCCAACTTTAGCTAATACCAGCTAAACAAATAGCTGAACATAGCAGAAAGCATCTATAGGAAGCATATATAGCACAAAGTAGAAAAAAAGAATTACAAAAAAATAGTAATTAGCAGAGATAGCGCAGAAAGAAGTAGAATTTAGCAAATGCAGCAGCAAAACAGCAAAAATTAGCCTTAAAATAAGCTTAAAGTAGCAGCYTCAAGTTGAAAGTAGCACCCAGATTGTGAAATGGTTGTAAAAATTTTAAATTTGCAGAAAAAAATCCATAAAACTGAAACTGAAAAAGTGATAATTTGTGTTAAAATATCTAAAACAGCCGAAGTTTTCAGTAAAACAGCTAAAAAGCAGCTGGAAACATTTTAATTAGCATAAGAAGCACAAGTTTGTTGAATTTAGCAGAATTAAGTTGTAATGTTTGTCTTGTGTGTCCTTCTTAAACAGGTGCTCTAAAATACATGATTTCATTGTAAAGCAAATTATAATCACAATAAAGGCAATTATATTCTAATAGCTACAAAAATATGTATTTAGTTTTAAAAGCTAACTTTAGCTAATACAAGCTTAACATTAGCTAAAAGTGCAGCAATTAGCTAAATATAGCAGAAAGCAGCTGTAATAAGCTTAAATAGCACAAAGTAGCAGAAAAAAGTAGAAAAAAGCTGAAGAATAGCCGAAAGAAGCAGAATATTAGCTGAAATAGCAGAAAAAAGCTAAAATTAGCAAAAATGTAGCTAAAATTTGCACAAGGGAATAAAAAAGAGCACAACCAGAACAAACAATGTAAGGTTTTGTAAAGATTTAGAAACAATTTGAAGGATTGTAATGTTGTTGAAAACAGCTCCATTCATTTTCAATGGCAAAAAAAAGTGGCTGAAAAACTGAAATAGCTGAAAAAGTATAAATAGCTGAAATACCAAAAGTCATAGCAGGCATGGCATGAAAGAGCTAAACATTTTGATATATGAATTGTTGAAGTGGCACAAAAAATGTGGAAAAACGGAYGGAAGAAAAAATGATCTCAATAGTGTGAACACCATACGGCACTGATCAGCTAAATGTAAGAAGAGTGAGATAAATAAAAATAAAATGTTAGAGGAACATTTTTAACACTCAAAAAGTGAGCTAATGAAAATATGTTAATGACATTTTTTACATTTTATTTTACTCTTGGTGCCCCGTATCCATGGGTACAGAAAAACAAACTGTGTGTGTTAATTTGTCTGTAGCAATATCAAATATAAACACAAATATAACTCAGCTGTTTTAACAGATACTGAGATAAAGTTTGGTGTTAGTAGTGAGTCAGTAGAGAGTCATCCTCAATACTAAGCACTCATTAACTACATACAAGGCTGGTTTTCAAAATGAAGCTAATAACTAGGGCCAGTGCTGGCTCTAGTGATTTTGGTGCCCTAGG